AAAAGCAAATACGATTCCAAAGGAACGACTCGTTACCGCTTCATCGCGAAATGCTGCACCGTGATAAGTGTTAAAGAAAATCAAGGCACATACGATAAGTGTAATGCAACTTAAATTAAGCATTAGTCTGACTATTGTAGAGGTTTGCGCCATGCTGGAAAGTTCGACATCCTCTAGACATTTGACGACACGTAGCAGTTGAATGGGGGTGTTCAAAACTGATACAATACCTAAGAGATTGAAGACAACTAGAAGTGATCTATCTGGCTTTGTGAACAGTCCACGATGACGGGAATCGGTTGATATGCTTGGAACTTGTTCTTCTCTTGCTACATGTACAGTCCCTCGTTTTTGGCAGACATTATCATTGACGGACTTGTAAGCAAGTGTGCTGAGATCTGGCAAAGACAAAGACGGATTCAAAACAATTCTGCTTGAACATGATGGCTCAAACTCATCTTCATATCTTGCCCATATTGGCAAAGCATTTTCTGATATCCGCAAACAAGGCATACTTTCTGTGTCTTCATTATGTGATACTCCTTCTGTTTGATCTGGAGCCGGTACTGTATTCTTCCATCCGTCATCATCAGCAGAGTCGTTGCCAAGGCTGTTATCACTCGACAATACCCCTAGCGTCTTGGCGCAATGTCTGCACTGCAATGGCAAAAATACTCTCTGGTCTCGATGTAACTGTCTTCTCTTAAGAACAATCGCAATGGCATGAAATTGAACAAAACACACGAGACTTATAAGAAGTAAACGCGTTATGATAAAAGACAATTCCAATCTCGCCAAAGATGTAAATCTCAGAGTTGGCGGTATATATGGAAATATAACGCAACACAGTTCAGCGCTGGCAAGAAGACAACACAGGAGAATGGCCCCGTAGGGTGACCTATCCATGATGATGTGAATGCTTTTGTCAGACCTTGCTACTTCTATCTTACTGCCTTCACTCAAATGACTGTTCTGAGCCTAATAACTTCTGACTCCGTTTGCTCTCCTATAGGCTGTAATATTAGGAAATCCATTTTTGAACTGGTGTATGGCGCATGCGCATGGGTAGAAATGCCGGGAGACAGAGGGACATCCCCCCCCCCCCCATTCCCCTCTCTACTCGACCCCCCCCCCCGAGATAAATAGATTTATTTTTTACTATCCTTATTTCTATTTGTATTACTACAGTATTGTTATTATTATCATTATAATTATTAGCATTAATATTAGCATTAATAGTATAATACTTATTATCATTATTCTATAGTTATTAATTTTAAAAGTAAAGACCAGTATTGGAAACGCCCCAATTTCAAAAAATGAAATGGAAGCTCTTTAATTATCAATCATGTGAAAGAATATGTTTTGACTAATACATGATGATAACATTTTTGCCGGGAAACCGCCTACTAATTCATATATTTGGTAAATTAGTTTATCTATTGGACTGTGAGATATAAACGCACGTTTCGCGCACGTGTGCGTAGTCCCATATACATCTTTTTGTGTACAGTGCTTGTAACTTTACGAAGACTGGGCCAAATTTCTTATCATTTTGATGATTCCAGAACCTTGCAGTACACACCAATACTTATATGCTAGATGATCAACCTTTTCTGATCGATTCCACAACATTTCGTTCACAATGTCCATATCGCATGACAATCGCATGACCATAACAGGCCTTTATCTTTAACTTGTTTAGTGATTGGCACAGTAACTTGGGGTATGACAATGTTTCCTCCTCCCCCCCCCCCTCCCCTCCCCCACGGTTTAAAATGGACTAATTCCGTCCATGTGTAGGCCTACACGTACCACTGCTATAATTAATGTCATGTCATTAAGCAAAAGTGTTCGTGACCCTATATTAAAAGACAACTCTCGGTTTCAAATGTAATATAATGGAAGTATAATATATCACATATTGGACATAACGAGGTCATTTGGGTATATTTAGGTGCAATGAGCACAAACGTGATTATCAAAGCGCCAAAAAGAAATAACTAAAGGAAGATTAATTCCGAGATTAATATATAATATAATATATATCATTTATCATATAATTTAATTAGTTTTATGGGCAATTAACTTTCTACTTTCGCTTCCTAATACCTTATAATGTTTAACATGGCATGAAAACAGATAAGGCCAGAAGCCTGTCCTAAAATGGTCACCCAAGTCAAACTTATAATATTTGGATCTATACAATCACTTACATTAAACCACAGGAAGTTTAATTATCAGTATTACCCTTACCAGAACTGACGGGCGTAGCTCCCAGAGTGCCCCCACCCCAACTCCAAAAGCCCTGACCATTTTCACACCATTTAGCCCGTTCAGCATGCAATATCAACATGAGTAGTAGTATGACTGTATGCTACATTGAAAAATATGAATAAAAAACCTGTAAAATACATTGTAAAATACGAAAGGAATTTAAGTGCGCATACAAATTGGGGTCATATTTATCCTAAGCCAATGGATCAAATTCGGTCTCAAAGAAGTAGGTCTACACTTAAATGGTTGCTGATTAAGAACTCAATTGAACAGGAGCCCGATCGAGTCCCCGAGGTTAAGTTAAGACATCAGCTTTTCGTTGTATTATATTTTGGTTTAATGTATTGCTGCTGTGTTTAAGAAAAAAAAAACTATTATTACTCCAAAGATTGTTTGTAAAAAATTGAAAATGAATGATCAATAAAATTAAAAAAAGTCATTAAAAACAAATCTATTTAATAAAGCTAATGTTAGGGTCCCCATTGATTAGGGTCGTATATCTCACTTCACATAGGCCCCTACAACTTTTTTGTCGTAACAATTTATGTGTATTTAGTTCTTCTTTCTTCTCCCGTTTCTTATCTTCACCTCATACTTTTTTTTTCGAATCCACATTTTTTTTCATTCGTTCTCTCTTCCTCTTCTAGTTTTCTTTAATTCCTTCCCTCTTTGTATGTCTCTCTTTCTCTCTCTCTGTGCATGTCTCATCTTTATATATATATTTAATTAAATTATTCTTATATACCCTTACCAAGTTTGGTAATTTGTTACGTTTGTGAAAGATTGTTTTGCCCCGATTTAAGTTTCTAAGGAATATGACATATTCAATCTTACATCTTAAAGTATTCGAGGTCCTAATTCAATCAGTCCACCTTTCATTTTTGAGTTACGAAACAAAACAATTATACAAGGAGTATGAATACTTCAGTTGTTGACTGTATGCATCTCTTTGCCCCTCCCCCTCTTTCTACACACATTCTCAATTTTTCTGTCACTCCATCTCTCTCAATCAATGTCTGTTTCTATTTCTTGCATGATCACTGTCATACATCTATCAGGAAATGAAAACCTGGGATATTAAATCCTGAATTATTACCTAATTAAAATTGATTCATATTCTTTCACAACTCATCTCGAATTTCTTTTACAACTCATCTCAAATTTCTTTCACAACTCATTTCAAATTTCTTACACAGCACATTTACGACATGTTGGCCTACTAAAGTTTGGCGCTGCCCCAAACATCCGACATTGACAAACCTAATCTTTGATAAATATATGTATTATCTGATGTACATGTACCTGGTATGTAAAACTGATACAGACATATAAATCTTATCATATTTATCAAAGATGATTAATATTAGAATATCAGATATTTTGAACAAGGTTTGGGCCATCCATCCACTCGAGTATTCAGCTACAATTAAACAAAAATGTATTGTCTTCAAACACTGGTGCACTTTGTATAATAATTTAATATATTCCATGTTATGTTAAAGGACAATTCAACCTTTATGATGAGTTCATTTTTGAGAAAGCAGAACAAATGAAATAACGAAAAGTGTAAACGAAATTGAGCAAATAATAAGAGAAAATAAGGAGAGCTGTCCACCACTTCATCTACATCACATTGGCATTTCTGAAATAGCCAATTTCAATTTTCCACATGAATAGTGACTACAGCTAAAAAAATATTCTTAGATGTATTATTGTTTGTCCGATTTCATTCAGATTTTCACTAATCTGCTTCTTAGATTTTTCTGCTTTCTTTTAGAACAACATGCCAAATGGTTGGAATTCCCTTTAAGTTCCAATCTAGGATGAGAAACAAAACTTGCATAGACATCAACAGCCTGCAATAAATAGAAGAAAGATATCTTCACTCTTATAGACAATGCTAGCACATTTTTTATGAAAGGCAGAGGTAAATTGAGGTAATAGGTTTCATAAAGCTCTCTTTTTAAATACAATATGTTAACAGAGGAAAATCCTTTATAATAACAATAAAACAATCTCTCACTACAACCAACTTCATAATAGTCACAACCAAGCTTAATGCATCAGTTCTGAATGTAAAACACACTTCTTCATGCTATTCCAAGATGAAAAAGATTCTATACAGGGTAAGCCTATAATTTGTAAAACAGTAAATTACAGATTGTTTAAATTCTCCTGTTTAGATTTTCAAAGGGGTATTGTACAAGAGAAACTACGAAAAGTAATAAATTATAAATCAGTCACGAACTTTACCATGATAGTGTTGTATACAAAACCAATCACTCTGGATAAAAGGTTACAGATCAGCTTCACTTAATTTTCCTGTACAGGAAGATTGTATCTTTCTCGGCCATTTGAGAAGACATTATGCTGGATGGTCATGCTTCAGTTGAAAGCAATTAGTATTATCTCATGGTATTTGGCCCGGCCCCCCCCCCACTCTGAGAACGGACGGACCCCATGCGTGTTACCAAAATGTCCTTTTCGTAACAAAAGAAAAAGGTCGACCCGTATTGACTTTACACACTGGACTTTTGCTGAAAAGAGGGGGTCGCTTGGAACACACATAATTATGCGTACCCTAAATAACACTGAGTGGGGGGCCGGGTATTTGGTCTCATAATTATATAAATTACTATACTAGATAAAATTTATGTATGTATAATTGACTAGATAATACTGAAGTCATCATTATTCCTTTAATTTATCTTATTATCATTTTAATATTTAAAATTCACGAATGTCCTAGATGTTTAATGTGAGTTCCATGTGCAGCAAGGTCTCCTTTTTCATTAAAGATGCGGGCTGTAGTGTATGCTACTGATCTTCCTTTCCTCATAACTTCTCCTTCTAAAGTGACTTTGTCCCCAACCTTCAGAGCTTTCATGTAACTGCAAATGGAAAAAAAGATGATAACAAAGGAGAATAATGCAACATCAGAACTTTGTAGTTTCCTTCAAAAGTAATCATTGCTATGTTATTACTCTTATTACGAACCCTGCCTCTGGACAAATCTCCTATCCTAAATTTGGTATGCATCTTTATCACATCACAAAATATACAGACTTTCATTACAATATGAAGAAAAACAAACACTAGCTATTAAAATTAAATTAGACTTCAATAATTTAATAAAAAGTGCTGAACATTTACAGTTGTCTCCACATGATAGAGTAACAGTCTAACAGACAAAGGGACAGTCCTGTAAATTGGATAGGATTACATGTATAACAAAATACCTCTTATCTATTTCACAGAAAATTCTGTACTTACTAAGAGCGCGTTTATCTAGGCTTGCCACTAGATACAAATGTATGTACATATCGTACCCCACTATCGAACCCCACTATCGAACCCCACTATCATACCCCACTATACGATCGTGATTTGCGGGATGTCGCGTTTATCTACTCTTCACGATTCAAAATAAAGGCCTTGTGTCTGCCCAGCTGTTTTGACCCGGGAAGCAGACAGTTTCTCGGAGGTCAAATTCACACATATGCTTGTACACAACACCTGTGTGGTCCTATTTGTATGTGACGTTCAAAACAGCTTTGCGTTTATCGACCTCTCAGAAACGTGATTCTGGCTGTATGTCACATACAAAACGCACCTTTTTGCGTCTTTTGATATGCCCATATCTAAAGACGTTTGAAAAAGGCTTTGGGTTTATCTACTTCTAAATTTGCCTGAAAGACGTTTGAGAAACCTGATTCTAGCCAAAAATTTCCTAGATAAACGCAACCTATGGCTCTCCAGTTATTTGGGTAAAAAATGCCTCGACCAGCATCATCCGATTATGTGGAGAGTACGGTTATTGTTTAAAAGCCGTCTGTACTAGTTTGGCTAGGAGGGATTAGACCACCCAGGGTGATCACTGACAGGTGGCTATCTCATCAACTCAGGTCTCAATTGACATAAGAAAAAGAGGATCATCATCATGGGGGCCAATGGTCACCGATTACTTGTTTTTTATATAGAGGGAGCAAGTAGCTCAAGTAGTACAGTGGGCCTTTAATGGACATGATTATGAACAAAGAAGGCAGCTTACTTTACACTGAGATTAAGGCTGACACCAGGGCGGGAATCTTCTTCATCTACTATGAGGGCTAGAGATGTCATGAAATCAACAGCTGTGGCTGTGAATCCTCCGTGTAGAGTCCCAAAGTGATTGCAGTGCTCAATTTTCACTACATATTCTGCCGTTACTTTGTTTGGAGTTGCAGCAACAAGTTTTAACTAGGAACAAAAAAGGAGATTAATCATTAATATTACACCAACAAAAAATAGAAAAAAACTTTCCAGCCCCCCCCCCCCCCCCCCCCCCCCCCCCCCCCCCCCCCCCCCCCCCGTTCTCGAAGCTCAACCTGATCGCCAAACAAAATAGATAACAACATCAAACTACTTCCATCATAATGCTCTAATTTCCTTAAACATTCATTGAGGTTAATAATGTTATGCTCAGCCTCTCATCCACACTCCCCCCTCCCCCCTCAAAAAAGAAGAAATAATAATGATATAGCAAATAAATGAAAAAAATAGAGCCTACCCGACACTAATAAAATATGAAATCAATACTATCGGAGGGGCCAACACTTAGCCTTAGTCACAATTCCAATTGATTTTATAAAAAGTAATTTAAGGAAAACTGCAATTATTCAAATGAATTAGGAATTAAAAAAATGAAAATATCATCAGGAAATAAGAGATTTACAATACTTCAGAATTTTTGAAGATTATACCATAGAAATACTTGTAAAATGAAATTGTGAGTACTTTATTTCATGACCAGTGAATCAGTTTTGTTTTAGAGATGGATACTCCCGGATATTTTCATTTGATAGTTTATTAAAATACATCCTTATATTATTCTTAGGAAAAATAAGACTCTTTGAAACTTTTGTCCAATGTTTCAGGCTTCAACAAAATATTAAAATGACAAAACTTCAACATTCCAAACGCATGTTTTAAAATATTGAGATAGAATTTATCTCACAATTAACATGGGACTGAACACTAGAGAATATACTTCTGACTCTGACTGTGGCTTGCCTGCCATGGCAAACTACCTATTATTACTAACCATACCTTCAAGGATTTTACAATGTGGAAATAAACATGTATAATCAGTTTAGTTAAGTGGAAACAGCCTTATACATATAAGGGGTGTGGAATCAGTCAGAAAAAATTGATAATGTAGCTAATAAATATTGGTGTGTACTGCAAGGTTCTGGAGTCATCAAAATGATACAGAATCTTGCCCAGTCTTGGTAAAAGTAACAAGCACTTTACACAGAAAGATGTATACTACACAAACATGTGGCACAAAATGAGGCCCACATTTTTAAGCTGTTACAATACATATTATATTTAGAATATGGAGGCATTTAAAGAGCCATGCTTTTCAGGGAACATTTTTTCTATGATGTTCTTTTTGCATATATTAAATAACAATGAAAATGCTCACAATTATTTTGTACCTATCCCCAGAAGTTGAAGAACTCAACCTTCTCTTTACCTTTACCTTTACCCGAGATTCTGGAAGAATGCTGTGTTCTCAGCAGTCAGGCGCGGGCTTCCAGTTCAATTTCATGAATTTACTGTTTTAAAATTGATAATAATCGTTACATTGAAGGTTTTCGAGCAAAGAATTCAATCTAACCCTCTTTATGTGACGATACAAATTAAATCAATTTTCAAAATTGATGCACCTTTGCTTTAAAAACCTTTAAATCACAAATTCATAAGGCCATGCATACATATGCACATCCCGCAAACACTAGTCACATAGAACTTTTGCTTACCGGTACATTTAGGGCATGTGCATTATGTTCATCCTATCTCGGCCTTATTTCCCTAAATTGGCGCCTACAAGGGCCCTTCTTATTGGATATTGCTGGCTGCCATTCGCTCAAGGTTTATAAGATATTGGGGCGAGGAGAAAGCTCGCGATTTTTTGATTGATCCGATACCAAAATCATATTTCAGTCAAATGTCAAACCCTCTATTTGTTACAATTTTTTCAGCATCCTTAAAAGGTAAAGTAGAACTAGGTCTACATGTAGATCTAGATCTATTTCACTTAAGTTTATGGTCTTAAGTAACTTTTTTAAAAGTCTGGACAATTTTCATTTCTGTCATATTTAAGGTACAAAATCATGGAAATTTATTCCGAAATATTTGTTGATTTGTGCGTCAGTTATGGCTTACATTCTAACGTTAGATCTAGATCTAGATCTAGATCTAGACCTAACTTTTTGTTAGTCTAGATCTAGGGTCTAGGGTCTAGATTCTATGTGAGAAGTGCATCACCTGTTTGAGACATGGCTTGACATGTCTTTGCATTATGTAATATTATGTATTGACTAGCTATTGGCATTGCCATTTAACTTATGCTGCACTTATTTAAGTTAAGTAGGCCCTCTCTCACTAAAATTCGAAACCACTCTAGCGGGTCGCGTTATTTTTTTATGCGGCACAGATTAGGGCTTTTTTTTAAAAGGGGTCTTGATTTACAGACTAATACTGGTCGTGTGCGTACGAGACAGTATAAGTAGTAGAGGTCTGTTTTTACATTTAATCCACTACCGTATGGAAAATCATTACATCAACAATTAAAATCAAATTGGAAATCTGAAGAGGAGGCAGAACGTCAATAAGGAGAACATCACAATAATTAGTCAATAAAACTGAACTAACTTAAACGAACAGGAATGTTCGTGATGGATATACAAACTTCTTCGCAGCGCTAATGCGCTAGCTAACATGACTAGTCTCACGTACGTGCAGACACTATTCAGAAGGGAAAGAACGTACTTCCCATAGGTTTAACACGCGCCATGCCCCCAATCTGTGCCGCATAAAAAAATAACGCTAGCGGGTCGGCCAATATAATGGCACGTGTTAATTATAATATCACTTCAAATTGACACACACAAATTGTAACGGGTAGGACTACACTTTCTCACCGAAGAAAAAATATTGTCAAATCCCTTCGATTTTGCACAAAACTTCAGGACGTCTGCCGCCCGCTTCATAGATCCGTTTAATGACATCTTTCGCTAGAATATATTATGTCCAATGAGAAAAAGAAATTCAAAGCGAATATGCGTTGAAAACCAATAATTTTAGCATTGACTGTTGCAAGGCCTAACCTTTGCTGCATGCTGGAATGATCAACTAAATTTCGAGTAGAAACTCATTGGCTTTCCATACACTTACTGTATGCACATTCCGCGTACCGTCAAATGCGACGGGGAAGGGATTTTTCCCCTGATCCATACCGGTATGTGCAATGTCACAACACTACAGCTTGGCCGGAAGAATTCCACGTAAACCCTTCGCATCTCTAGTGTCTCTGCAGGTAGGCCGTGTCATGTAGGTCTAGGTAGCGGATACTAATAGTTTACAAACATTTTTAAAATCCATCGTGCGTGTACACCTATCGACTTGAGTGTAGAAAATGTATTAAAACGCACTAGACGTCGACCACATGCAGTGACATGGCCATGGCATGCACAGACACAGTGGATGGGTCGCCATGTAGGGTGACACAGCTCAGCTCGCTCCGGAGCGGGGAGTTACTAGGGGGGTGGTTCCGAATTCCGGCTCTCGTGGCTCGCGGTGGCTGCTTGGCAAGGGTTTGGTTTAACAAAAAATGATTTCTTAATCTTATGTAAAGATTCAAGTCTGAAGATGTTACTTGGCCTGCAATTTTTGTAGTAATTCAATCAATTATTCATACGAATCAATAGTCATACTCGTGGTGGTCAGCTCAGGCACGTAGCCAAAGTTCGATGTTTGGGGGGCACATAGACCTACATGTAATCGATTGAGGTAAAAAAAAGGGATCTAAAAAAGTTCAACCGATCTTGGAAATTTTAGGGAGGCACATTCCCCCCCCCCCCCCCCTCCCCATGGCTACTTGCCTGCTCATGGTTATAGATCTAGTCTAAATGTTAGTCATATAAACGAAATCAAGATGTCAATTGCCCCAGCCCAATTCATTGCATTCATTAAAATAAGAAGCAATATTCCAATACTTCATCAGGATTAATGGATTTCCCATATAATTATTTTTTTCAGGCTGAATTGTCAATTGATTGTATGGTACTGCTACATGTATTTCCTTACAATTGGGTGTCATCAATTATTACAAAATTAAAGATGGAGTGAATTCTAGTGAGTTTTTGTACAGTGTGCATGTGATAAAATTTTGAGAACCAATAGTATTGATTCTCAAAATTGATTAATACTGACGATAGAGGTCAGAAAATGTTCATGACACACAGTTATGCTGCTGCTATGCTGGAGTGCAAAGTCCAACACTGCAACTGCTTTATGTGAGAAAATTTAACTTGAACCTCATTTAGGCTTAGCAATATAGTTCATCTAGGTTCAATTTCAAAATATTAATAAATGTATATAGATCTCATTGTATCTTGTTACAGATGGTATGATATGGTGACATGTCACAGAGCCAAACATGGATAGCCCAAAGCAAGTCCCGCCTCCTTGGAAAGCAGAACGACCCGTAACGGAGCTCAGCAACAGAAAGAGCGAGAACATTGACACTGCCACCGTACCAGGTAAAAATGTCAGAGTTAAAACTGTTGGAGCTAATAAAGATGCCACAGGGTATTAAAAAAATGTCAGAGGTAAAATTAACAGAGTTAAAATAATGCCACAAGGTAAAATTGTCAAGAGGTGAAAATGTAAGATACCAGAAGTAAAAATGACAAAAAAGTCACTGCTACAGCAGCACAGCCAAGGGTTAATACATACAAACATCTGATTGTTATCAACTATAGTCACACCCACTCAAAGGTCAGGAGTGTGTGGGGCTGAGTAGAGCAATATCACCACTTTCCAAGTATTAGCAACCCCCAACCCCCGATCTATGACTTTGTGTACATGTATCACATTCTTACCTCTGATTGCTGAATAAATTTATTCTCAAGCTTCTTTTGGTTTTTGGAATGTTTTTGGTTAGTTTTCATTTCTGAGAATCCAAGAATATATAGGGATGCTGTATCCCTTCTCTGCAACTAGTCTCATCATGTCAGTAACCCCCCCCCCCCCCCCCCCTTGTAAGAGAAAAAATGCTGACTTTAATAAATGATGATGATGATAAAATTTAAAAATAAATTTATAAATGCTTGTTTGAATGTCCATTTGGACGGTAGAGCGGATTAGGGATTATATAATCAACAATATATTCTTCATAATGATGCGCCTTTTGTTTTGTTTTAGAAATCATCAATATACTGCATGACTGTGAGGAGGAAATGTTTATTGGTTGGCAAAATTATCAGGTTAGCATGCTTAACAGTAGAGTGAAATATTCATTATATTTTGGAAAATTCTTTGACAAGCCATATAAAGAAAAAAAGTGATCACATTTTATTTGGTGCCTTTTCACTCTTAAAATCTCTTACAAGCAAGGAAAAATAAGATAGTTAAACAAAACACAAAACCCAATGTAATGGGTTCTTACATTTTTCGGTTGCCCCCTTTTTTCAAAATTTGCTACCGGTGAAGGAGTAGGCCTGAATAATTTGTAAGCCTGTTTTCTTTTTTTTGTATGACTGTTTTTTACTTCCTCAGAGAAAATAAAAGGCTTCAAACTTGTTAGAATGAATATTTAATGTTAAATTGTTTTAACCTCTATTTTTAATGGCAGCTACCTTCATTTCTTTTATTCATGTGTGTTATATCAACACTTTAGTGTTCTTTTTTTTCCTTCCACTTTGCATTCACTATATATATATATATGTTATTCATTTAGAGATTACACGACAAGGATTTTGTGAAGAAGCTCAGTGAGGTGTCCAAATATGCAGCAGCTCTCATTAAGGTAAGTCATACAAAGTAAAGTGAGAGTAAGGTAACAAAAAAACTGTAGTCCATCTTTTCTGTCACCGTTTAAATAATATATATCGTTCTTGTATGATTATGATATAATGTCTCCATGCGCTTCTGAAGGACTTTGAAAAGTAATTTCGAATTGATGACATCTCATAACAGATGTAATTGATTTTTCTTGTTTTTGGAAACTACAAACAAATTAAAGTGCCAGATTATTGTATGCTTTTATCTACGAGTTGTTCAGGATGTAACATTACTTTTTAAAATCTCATATGTCTCTTTTCCTCTTCTTTTTCATTCAGAATTCAGCTGATAGTGCCATCATCCTGAGTGGCTGTGGAACTTCAGGAAGAATCGCCTTCTTTATTGCTGTAAGTTCAATAGTCTTCTAGTATTTGTTCATCATTATTTTTTCTTATTTTTTATTTAAACTGGGTAACTCTCCAAGGATCAAAACTGTTTTACTGAGAGACCCTGTACAAATTATAGCTTACAAATACAGATTAGATTGGCTGGATGGATTCCAACGGTCTTAAAATAAATGAAAATAAAACTGAGTTTATCATTTTGGGCTCTAAGAACTCTTTACTGAGAGCAAATCATACTCATTTAAGCTTGCATCTAGGTGACAAAGTTCTAAAGCCAGCCTCAAAGGTCCGTAACCTCGGTGTGATATTTGACAATAATATGTCATTTATTGAATATGTATCTAGCATATCAAAGTCTGTAAGATATCAACTGCGGAACCTTGGGTTCATACGAAAATCTCTGACTCAAAAAGCATGCGAACAATTAATCCATGCATTAATCTCATCCCGCTTAGATTTTTGTAATTCTATTCTATTTGGACTCACAAAACAGCAGCAAGACAGACTGCAATCCCTCCAAAATTCCAGTGCAAGACTCCTTACTTTCACACCAAGAATGTCTTCTATTACGCCTATACTACGCTCTCTTCACTGGCTACCTGTCCAGAAAAGGGTCCACTTTAAAATCATGTTACTTGTTTATCGGGCTCTCCATGGAATCTCGCCACAATACATTAAAGACTCACTACACTCCTACAATCCAACTCGTACCTTAAGATCTGGAAGTGATAATTTGCTGCAAATTCCCCGTACCCGTCATTCATGGGGAGACCATGCTTTTTCGCATGCAGCAGCCAAATTATGGAATAAGCTTCCCTCATCACTTCGCTCTATTGCAACATACTCTGCCTTTAAAACTCGTCTTAAGACTTACCTATTTCATCTGTAACCCAGTATTTCCTTAAGTTGTATAAGTTTATTTTACTAAATCCATAATTGATATGTTATTTGTATATACATTTGAAATTAATTAGTTATCACCCTTTAGTCTCATTGGCTGCCTGTGTGGGGCCTGTTGGCCTCAGATGCTAGAGCTTCTGTGAATAATGTGCTGACTGGGCTAGTCCCTTAAATTGTCAGTGAACGGAGCAGCTGGAGGGCACCGGGCCCCACCAGGCAGAGCTGAGGATTGAAATGGGTTATAATAAAATATCGCAAAAAATATTGCAAAGTTATTTACTTTACTTGTATCAAAGAGAACTGTTGCTGAGCTAGCGCCATGAGCGTCCCTGGACGGTGTGTGCGCTCTATAAGTTTACACTATTATTATTATTATTAAATACATACGTACCATATCATAGATTATTTGTTTTTATTTATGTTATACACCATGATATAAACATGAAAAGTAGATATTTAGTTATTGTTGATAATGGGATTATTTGATTTCTTGTGAACAGGATAATACAAATAACCTTAACTCATTATTTCTCCATAATTCCAAAAGGGAAGACCAATTTGGTGTTCTGATAGACCCCAAAATGTACTTTGAGCAGTTCGTATTTAAAATGAAGGCTGCCAAAGCTGTTGTCTTGTTAAACTTGAAGGTTTTTTTTGTCTTGAAACTTTTACATGTTTGCATTCCAAGGTTTAATACCCCCCCCCCCTGTATTATTATCTTTTTATGCAGACCAAGATGAACAGCCTGCTGAGAGAAAGGGGGCTTCCCCAGTGCTTTGGTTACATCATCGCCGGTGGTGACAGGGCTTTGACCCATTCAGTGGAAGCATTTGAGGATAGTCCAGGGGCAGGCAAGGATGAACTAATCAAGGTTAGACTGTCAGAGTCACTAGGCCTGTCTTCATCAGCTCAAGTTTGCCAAATAACCCGCTATTTTATAACTATCCCGATCGCAAATTAATCAGTTAATTTGCGTCTTCATCAGCCCGCAGTTGCAATTAGCGGGATATTTGGTTGAGGAAATATCCTGAGAAATCTTGGTCTTGTTTCCAAAATATCCCGCTATTTGGGAAATAGTCCGAGCTAGATGAGTGTATATTTGTCTGGTGAAGACGCAATTTTGGGATTCGGGATAATATCCAGAGTCTAAAAATAGTAGGATATTTGGCAAACTCAAGCTCATGAAGACAGGCCTTTTGTCTTATATTATTACAAAGCTACTAAACAGCTTAGATAAATCACTTGCAAGTCACAGACAAAATTATTCTGCATCAGCATCTCAGAGTTTGTGTGCTTGTCATTTACAAACAAATATCTGTATGCTATAATGTTTTCCTGTTCAGCAATTTAGACTCTTAGTAGCTAAAAGTTGAGTCTTGTAATGATACATGTGTTTACTTTGCTTAACACACAAGAGAATTTATTATGAACATTATAGCTGTTATTATAAAAAGTTGAAATTTTCATATATCAGGTATATGTTCATGTATGTGCTTTCATTTGATCTGCAGGTCGCTAAAGGAAAGAGGAAAATTCTTTTCATTGGAATTTCATGTGGGCTTTCAGTAAGTATGTTGAATGTCTCTCATAGGACTAGCTATGAATATGAATATGTTCTTTAGGCCACTCAATTTTTTAAAATTGGGGGTAATTTCATAATTAGGGTACCGGTATTAAAAAAATGATGCAATGCTTCCAAGCTCTATTGTAACATTTTCTTCCCCCTTCCCCCTTCCCCCTTTCCTCTTCTGCTCATGAACAAATGCTCATGAATGTACGATTTTATAAGGGATTTTACTTTCCAACACGTAAAGTAACCGCTATTTGGAAGTCTAGTATAGGCGTGCCTGCTGGAGTCTTTGTGTAAAGAAAAGTGGAAAGTGTTAGAACATTTATGGCTCAGTGGTAGAACAGTTGTCTCGTAACAGAAAGGTCCAGGGTGTCAAAACCAAGTCAATGCGCTTGTGTCCTGTGGTAGGGCAAATTCCCTTTACTAAATCCTTCGAAGAGGACTTCAAGCTGTCTGTCCCCTGGTTGCTTAATATATACAAGCATACCGGTATACATGCTTTTTTAGCAGTCAGGTAAAACAATCATCAATGATCAACCAATTGTTATTATTTATTTGACAAAATTGTATGCTCTTTCTAGTTAACCTTTCTTCTAGTAACATTTACTTTAATCTTTCAATTAATCTCATTTTCCTTCTTGAGTGTCATTCTCCTCTTATACCCTATTGCACTCCCCTGCTTTGATAATATGATTTTATACTCCCAAATTCAATTCAAATTGCTTTGATTTGTATTTTGCTTCAGGCTCCCTTCATAGCTGGTCAGCTGCATCACTGCATGTCTCACCTCGATACCTTCCTACCAGTCTTACTGGGCTTTAATACTATACACATGGTCAGAGATAGGACCATAGAGGGATGGGATCACACCCTTCTAACAGGTTCAGATTTTCTATCTATTCATACATATTTTTTTTCTCATTTTTTACGATTTTTTAAAACAATTTTTTACAATTTTATGAGGACACCCTAGATGCAATAGATTCACATTCATATATTAGACCAACCCTGATTCTTAAATTTATCCTAGTGCTTACCAAGCCTGATAAATTTTGAAGAATATTTGTTTCTCCCCCCAAATGGATAGTCTCTTAGATCAAAGTAAATCCGGTTTAAAGTGTGGGGGGGGGGGGGGGGGGGGGGGGGTAAGGTGCTGCTTTTGTCATGACTTGATTGAACGCCTCGCCAAACCCTCGGATTTCTATAAATTTAAAGAAATAAATAAATCCTTTTTTTTAACTCTCACTATCACCCCTGCTGCTAACCCAAACCTGATTCTAATCCTATCCCTTATCCAAGTTCTAACCCTAACCCCCACCCTGATCTTAATCCTTACCCTAACCCAGATCATAATTCTAATCCTATAACCCTGATCCTAAGCCTAACTTAGTACTGATATATGGTGAAAAATTCAGCAGTTAAGTCTGTATTCAACTCCTGTTGAATTTTGTTAAATTTCCACAAATTTTTGTTTCCAGTGTGCAGGATTCAGCTAGAGTGAAAATCACTGGAAACGGTGAATCATTGAATATTCAGTACTCACTACTCAATGATGATTATAACAAGTCCATAGTAGAATAAAGATGAATTATATTTCACTATGCTAATTTACTTTAAAACTGTCTTTTTAACAGTAAACCAAAAATTCAAAGGTATATGTATTCATTCAAACTATGGTTTTGTAAATGCACTTTAACATTATAGTTTTGTATGTAATCACTTCTTCCTTTTTTTTCATATTTTCTTTATAGTAACTAAACACTTGATGCTTCTGGAGAGTAGTGGCCAAGGTTATATTCTGAATCCAATTGTGGGGGTAGGTTTTATATTGTGGGTAGGTTTTATATTTCATAAGGAACAGTTTATATGAATGCTAGGTCGAGACCATTGTTATACAGTTGATAGAAATGCTTTCAATCGATAAGTTGCTTTCAATTTGCATAGCTTAAGTATTGCAACAGCAAAATATTGTTCTCTTAATAGTATAATTAATTAGAATTGTGCATGCTGCCCTCAATTATGCATTGCATGTTTTGTTTTGTAGGAATTTGTTTGTAGGAATTTCTCAATATGAAATGGAAATGATAATGATCTCAGTGCCACATTGATGATAATAATATTTAAACATTTGTGTATATTTCAACACATACCCGGTAGGCATAATTGCATGTCTCTATGCGCTGGATCACACATATTTGTTATGTATTTTACTTTGAATTATAATGGAAAAATAAATGAAACGAAATGCATGGCGATAAGAGTTATTAAATGTAAACAAAATGAATTAAAATACCAACGTTAACAATACCAGCTTCAACATCTGCCCTGACCATATTAGCTCTTTGCTTTATTCGTCATTGATTGGGTTGCAAATTGGTGTTTGTTTTGGTTTCACATGAGAGCAAGTTATGTATTCTGTGGTTTGAGAGTTGAAACTAGAAATTCAAAGAGTGTGTGACGTTGACAAAAAGAGGAAATACTGCTCCATCATGTGTTGAATTTAGAGTGTATTCATTAGGAAAATGCAATACACATGGTACATGAGTATTTTTAATTTAAAAAATCATAATTAGTATTATAATGAATATGAAGGAAAAAATATGTAAGAATAGACGATTGAAAATGTTCATTATTTGAAGTAAATGCAAATCTTCAGAAAATTTGTTACACGTCAGGTTGATTGTACAATTACAGGCCTGATAAAAACCTGATTTAAATTGGTTTCCCGATTTTTTTAATTTTTCCGATTTGTTTTCTTCCCGATATAACAACAAAACAAAAATCCAGATTTTTTTTTCTTCCCTATTATCCTGATTTTCCTGATTTCCCTCTTATTTTCTCTATTCTTCCCTATTTTGCCCTATTTTCCCCCCAATTTTCGTACTCGAAAGGGGGAAATGTTATTAGATGCCATTTTTTCCCCGAAATTCTCTTCTTTCTTTTTTTTTACTCAAGGGCGGCATGGTTGAGGGGGAAAACAAAAAACCTACTTTTTTTTTTTTGGTGCTCACTATCACCCATGAATTAGTACAATATGTTTAATACATACTGTATCCTTACTGCTTCGTTTTAGCCGGAAGCCATTACAGGTTCTTCTAGGATGAAAGGGGGCGGAGTAACAAAGTTGATCCTAGAGACGTGTTTCCTTACTGCTCTTTCATATCTCAGCGTCTCCTCTGATCCCAAAGACAACGATGAGGTACGGTACCATTTTCTTTCAGTTCCGTACTCTTTGAATTCATTTTTTAATGATAATAATTGTAATAGTGGAGTCTAGTATAGCACTCATGTCTGGCACAGCTGCCGTTATAGTGCTCAAGCATTTTCAAGAATTAATTCCTGCCAGGTACCCATTATACCTCACCTGGATGGAGTGTAGCAAACATAGACATAATGTCTTGTACAGTTCTGCAACAGGGATTTGAACCCCGCACCTTGTGGTTCACTAGAGAATTACCCACTGGACCGCAACACCTCTAATAAAACACAGATAAGTGAGTAGGCCCAGAAACTAAATTGTTGCATCCAGCAATTTTTTTTTTCTTCGTCCCCTCTTGTCAATCATTTACATGAAGTAAACTGTGGCATATGTCAACCGGTCTAAATCCTTGTTTGCACATTGCACGATAAAACTAAATTAATCGAAAGACCCTGCAGCAAAATTAAAATTACATTTGCATGGTGCGCTTCACATTTTTGTATCTTTTAACACAAGGATAAGTACCGGTATTCATGACTCAGTGCATTCGATGCACATTGCTGCATTTGTTTTCACCCCTACATGGCACTCATTTTCATGTCAGAGTTTTTTTTTTTGCTGTTTATTTATTTTTATTTTTTAATTGCAGATTTATACTACCCGTATTGCATTTTTTCAATGATTACAAATTCAAGTTCAGCAAAATATTAACATTGATTGGAAGGCTGATTCACCATATAGCAATCATGGTGTCAATATGTGTAAACCAATTTGGAGAAATTATGTATGCATGGGCAGATAAAAAGTCATTTGTACCAAAATTGTGATTCCAAATTTACAACACATTGAGTAGACTGCTGGTTCATGAAAGTTATGTTATCATGCACAGGTGGTACATTTATGTTACACATGTGGAAGTATTCTTTTCAAGAAGGCAAATAAAAGGTCTCTATGAAGCACCTTCATATCTTTGGCAGTCATTATTCTAAAATGCACAAAGTGAGAATTACCCATGTGTAAAGGATCTGTGGATATTTGGGGGTCCTATTTGTGCAATTACTATGTCCGAAATGGCTTATTGGCATAAATATTCACGATTAAATGCTGAGCGCTGTTAATAAAATACAACAATCAACAACATGATTCAGCACTATTTTACTGGAAGCTTGTGATATTATGATACTTCGAGCTTCATATCAGTGATGATCAACGTTGACAATAATTGTATAGCATCTCAAGTTTTATTTGACACATTCTACATCAGATAAATGCAGACAAGGATGCAGCAAATGATTCCAGCAAACAAGAAAAACTGATCACCAGTCTCTTTGAGTGCTACAAACAGGTTTGGGAGACTTCTTATCCAACGTCCAAGGAACAACTCTCAAAGCTAATTGAACAAGCTGGAAAGAGGTGCGTGTCATAATAGGTAGAAGCTCATAGAACGTCTGATATGGGCAGGCGCGGATCCACGAGCCCAATTCTTTCGGCCCGGCTATGGCAAGCCCATTGTGTAAAAACTAGATAAACTCAGTTTATCAGAAAAACTGTGTTTATTAATGATAAACTGAGTTTACCAACTGATAAACTGAGTTTTTCTGATAAACTGAGTTTATCAACTGATAAACTCTGTTTATTTGATAAACTCTGTTTATCTGTTGATAAACTGAGTTTATCTGAGAAAAACAGAGTTTATCTAGTTTTTACACAAAGGGCTTGCCATAGCCGGGCCGAAAGAATTGTCTCGTGGATCCGCGCCTGGATATGGGAGACGATATTTGGACACTGTCTCCATTGCCAGAATTGGTTAACACACTTGGGGGACAGTCTCTCATAGCTCACTCGTAAAATTTAGGAAGTGCCTCTGAGTCTCGGACAATGATGTACTTATAGTTGCAGAGGGGCCCTCATGTTTTAATATTTGTGTCTGTGTGTGTGCATTTCATCTAAAAAAGCACTCACATACATGCCAACTGTTCAGATTAAAGAGGAACATTCCTCTTTTTGGGAGAAGATAATTATCATTTTAATGCAGGTGTTCCTCTTCCTGTACAAATTTGTCTGTAGTATTGAATAGGAGAGTTAGGATTGTTCCTCTTTTTTTTGAAAATAGCATAATTTGCACAGATTTCTGATTTTCAAATGTTGGCATGTGGATAATAACAATTTAAAAGAGGCATTATCTTTTTTGACTACCGTATATCGACATTTGAAAAAAAAAAAAAATCTACTTAATTTGTCACTTAAAGAAGCGTAAAAGAGATCTATGCACAATTATCTCACAATGTATTAAAACATTGTTTGACTGCCAGAGAACAGTGCATTAACATCCAGTGTTGTTTCTTTTTCTTTTTTCTTATAGAATTTGTTATTCTGGTAGGGTCGGGCTTGCTTTCATTACTACGTCGTCTTTCTCTGATATAAGTGTGCACCATCACTAAATCTATACGAATCACGACTTTTGGGTCACTTGAAAATGACATATTCACAGACAACTCACCCATTTGTCCTGTTTTTGCACAAAAATATTATAAATTTCTGTTTCTTTCACAGGCACCTTCCCCCTTGGGGCACTAATTAAATTACATTGTATTATTAAAGGTTCTCTAAACCGCCATGCGTATAGCGATTTTAAAGATATTAAAGAAATGTGTAACTTTCTCACATTTTGTTCAAACTGTCACCAGTCTGCTTCTCTGATTGTCTGCTTTCTTTTAGAGTAGTTTAACACTAAGGTAGTACTTCCCTTTAACAATCTATTTTTTCTTCATTTGTTATTGTTGTCTTTCTCCCGCACCTCCTAGCCTACTTGACAACGGCCACGTGTACTATGCTGGCTGGGATACCTGGGGTCTTCTAGGACTGGTTGATGCCTCTGAGTGCCCTCCTACATTCGGATCAGGTTAGTAATATAGAAAGTTGATTTTAAATGGTGTTACTCGGGGGAGGGAGGAGTGGGGGAAGTGGGGGGGGGGGGGGTAGGAGTCTGATTATAGGCCTTACCCCCGCCTACTGGGCATTGTACACTTTTTATACTTGGGGTTCCCACGGTCATGGAAATAACCTGGAGAGTCATGGAAAATTTGATTTTAATTGGTGTTACTCGAGGGAGGGGAGGATGAGGGGGGGAAGGTAGTAGTAGTCTGATTATACTGTGCATTTTATACTATTTATACTTGAGGTTCCCACGGTCATGGAAATACCTGGAGAGTCATGGAAAATTTGATTTTAATTGGTGTTACTCGAGGGAGGGGAGGATGAGGGGGGGAAGGTAGTAGTAGCCTGATTATACTGTGCATTTTATACTATTTATACTCAGGGTTCCCATGGTCATGGAAAACCTCGACAGTCATGGAAAAATAAATTCCTCTGGAAAGTCCCCAAGTCATGGAAAGTCATGGAAATTCTTCTGGAAAGTCCCTGAGTCCCTGGAAATTGATTGAGGATGTTGGCTGTTAGTGGCTATGGCACCCTTCAGTTTGAACTGACAATGAACCCGGTATTTGTGCGCTGCTTGGATATTGCAACCAATACCAGTATTTATCTGGTTATTGAAAAAAGCAAAAATGGGTCATGAAAAGTAGTTTTATTTAGATCTCAAATTTCTGTTGGAACCTGATACTGTTCATGGTATGGTGACTAATAATAATAAATTACAGTATTAATGTACATCAGCTTGCTTCGAATCCGACAAAGAACAGATTCACAATACGATTAATACCATTTGCGCAACTGATTGTTTCAGATATCGCAATTAATGAATTACTTAATCCAGATGTAGTATGTAGTATAAACGTTTGTGATTAAAATCATTTAATGTCAGATATACTTTGAAATGTTTCTGGTCAACAGATTTTGATGATATCAGAGGGTTTTTGAAAGGAGGCCTTGCACCACTGGAGTCTTTCCCTCAGACTATGGTGAGATGCTCGGTTTTAACTTATTATTATTTTGCCATCTCACATGTTAAAGGGACTGTTTCTTTTCAGTATGCCTTTGCTATATAGAATATGGGAATTCTCCTTGTAAACACAACTTTTTAAATGTTGTTATTACTGATTTAATACCTAAAATAAAACAAAATTCCTTTGCTTTATGTATTACATATACAGTCAAACCTGTCTCTAGCGACCACCCAAGGGAAACACAAAAAGTGGTCTTTGTAGACAGGTGGTCTTTGTAGACAGGTTCCTTTGGTACATGTTTCAATGAGAAACCATTTTCAAGGGAAACAAAACATGTGGTCTTTATAGACAGGTGGTCTTTGTAGACAGGTGGTCACTAAAGCAGGTTTGACTGTACATGTTTGTAACACCTACTTATAAAATATTGGAAAGGAAACTGAATGACTGATCTTAGTCAATGCTTCATGTTAGAGGCAGCGTTGCCAATTGACTTGAGAACCTGCTTTTGACCAAGCTTATTTCTCTCTCCCATACTAAAATGAAAGAACTTAACCCTTCGCCTACAGAAACTCTGTTGTTCCTGTACTAAGCCAACAGATATGACATAATTCAGTAGTCAAATGGTTTAGTAAACATGTGATCAATTTTTGTTTTTTATTTGAAGAACGCTGCCGTAGGTCAGGACCCTTTAGAAGATGAAACATCTCTGGAATTCTTCAAGAAATCTGTCCTACCGTCCATCACTGCTAAAGACACTGTTGTATTCCTTGTGCCTTCAAATGGTAAGACCATTTTTATAAGGCTTTGTTATTTGTATTTTGTTTAAAATCAAATACTGATTGCTGTATGATGTGAATTAAGTTTTTTTTTAAATCAGAGCCATTAGTAAAAAAAAAAATTTAATGGAAAACATTTTTGTTGGAAGCTGGTATAAAATAAAGCTCATGAAAATCAGTGTAATTTATAAATGTGTAGCATAATTTGATATATTTACTTTATAATCTATGTAATCACATAGAAGACAAGGTATCATAGCCTTTCTCAGAAGTGACCAATATTTTTTTGCTCACCACATGAACTTTAGTTTAAACATGAATAGATTTATTGTGTATTATATATTATGATGAGTACTGGACTCACGCAAGGCCATAGTGTCCTTTGTCAAACAAAAAGGATGTCAATTTTCTCAATGTATATATTCTCAATGTATATATATATATATATATCTTCCTGAAAATAAGGATTTGAAAAAAATATATAAAAGTAGGTATACTGCAGACCATAATAATAGTGTCATAGGATATTGAAACATAAATAAAAATAGGGTATTGAAAAATAAAAGTAAACCAAATGTAAAACCAATTCAAGACACTTTTATTCATATATTCCCCAGATGCAAATATTTACCATGAACTGAACATCCTACTGAAATCAGTGATGCAGAAAACTCAGCACATAGGCGTGATCTCATCACTCCTCGTTGATGAAACACAACTTGATCTCAAAAGTTGCACTGTCGTTCCTCTCGGACACCTAAAAGAGGAGATGATCAATAAGATACAAGATGGCGGACTGGACAGTGAGCTTGGGAATGTAGTGGTGAAGAGTGTTAGTGAGTTAGCTCTGAAGTCGGCTCTCAATGCTATCAGTACCGGTGCTCACATCGCCAAAGGGAAGGTCTACCAGAACTACATGGTGGACTTGAAACTCAGGTAAAATGAAAGATTAAGTTAGGTTTAAAGCCTCTGTAAATCACAGTATTTTTCATCTTGACAAAAGTGTAATACGCTTCAAAATTTTGAGCTCAGTGAATAATAATAATAATAATATTTAAGATTTATATAGCGCTGGTATACAAGTACAGTTTCTAAGCGCTTTACAAAACAAGTGAAATGAAAAGTACGGTTAAACTAAATATGTGATAAGGATCAACAAGAAACATGAAATAAACAATGCGCTTAATTTGGACGAATTACTTAACTAACAATGTATAACAATAACATGATAATGAAAAATGAAAATGTAAATACAATAATTAAGTATCATTAATGAAACTGCAATAATTATGTACATTAGACAATAAATAGATTACAAGAAGATAGGACATGTGGTTATAAATACGGTATGATGATGGACAATTACTTCGTGTTGAATAGATAGGTCTTAAGTCTACGTTTAAAAGTGTCAAGAGTTGGGGATTCACGGACAGAGACGGGGAGATTATTCCAGAGTTTAGGAGCACATACAGAGAAGGCACGATCTCCATAGCGGGTGTGAGTTCGAGGACCAGATGATAGTTGAAGATGAACAGATGATGATGAGCGGAGCCTGATGGAGGAGGTTTGCACCTTTGGTGAAATGAGTCCATTGATGTATACTGGAGCAAGTCCATTACGGGCCTTGTAGGTGAGAAGCAGTACCTTGAATTGGATGCACTGTGGAATGGGGAGCCAGTGAAGAGAACGAAGAATAGGTGTTATGTGTTCGTACTTTCTTGTGCGTGTGAGGAGACGGGCTGCAGTGTTCTGGATGTGTTGGAGTTTGGTCAGATGTGAGCTGGGTAGATTTATCAACAGGCTATTACAGTAATCAATGTGTGATGTCACAAATGCATTTATTAGGCGCCCAGTAGAACTTTGGTCTAGGTACTTTCGGAGTTTTCCGATCCGGTAAATTCCAAACGAAGCGGCTCTGCATGATTTCTGAACATGTTGCTTCATGGTAAGTTTGTCATCCACTCCGACTCCGAGATTAATAGACGATTTTGATGGATTGATTGTATTGCAGTCGACTTCGAAATCTGGCAGCTCACTGGCTTTTCGAAATGCTGACGTCATATGCATGAGTTCTGTCTTGGCACCATTAAGCATGAGGTTGTTATCACGAGCCCAGACTTTCACATCTGCGATGCACTGCTCCAGTCTCACCACCCCACTGGCGATTTCACTTTGCTTCAGTATCAGATACATTTGTGTGTCGTCGGCATACATCATGTGTTCAACACCCTTATGGGACCTTATGACGTCACTGAGGGGACCAGAGTAGAGTATAAAGTCCAACGGTCCCACAACGGATCCTTGTGGTACTCCCCAAGTTAGTGGAAATGCTTCGGACTGGACACCATTGAGAACGATGACCTGAGATCGATTTTCCAAGTAGGAGGCAAGCCACTGCAGGACGACTCCCTCAAATCCATATTTATTACAGAAACGTTGTATCATCATGCTATGATCGATCGTGTCGAACGCAGACGAGAAGTCTAGCAGAATAAGAATAGCTTCAAGTCCTTTGTCAATGGCTAACAAGAGATCGTTGGCAACCTTCAAGAGGGCTGTTTCTGTCGAATGGAACTGACGGTATGCGGATTGCATGACAGGATATAAACCATTGTCTTCTAAGTGTGTCCTGAGCTGAGCAGCTACAATCCTCTCTAGAGTCTTGGCGATGAAAGGAAGATTCGCGATCGGTCTGTAGTTTTTAAACTCATTTCGATCCAAAGATGTTTTTGAATAATCGTAAGAGCTTTGTTGTGCGCAGTTGCCGCTCATTTACACGTAAAAACTGCTGTGGTTTACCACGTACACCATATCTGAACAAACCTTTACGCATGTCAACAGTAAGTTTATTTTCATCATGATGTTTATTGGCGTAGATGTCAGTTTCATTTTTGTACATATTTTGTCAAGTACAGCAATATTAGCCTGTTGAAATAAGTTCTGTTAGATTCTTTCAATATTATACACTACAATTCAACAGAAATCAAGGATAGCATACCGCATAGTTTTGTACAGTTATGTTTTGAGGTTAAAACAACATGATGAGACTATTTTATACATGTTTCTCTCCAATGTCCTGTTTGCTACCATAACTAAACATGATCTTTAAAGTCCGTGTGTACTAGTTTGCCCAGGGGGATTAGACCTCCATGGAAGGTCACTGACCGGTGGTTATCTCATCAAATCAGCTTTCAATTAACATAAGAAAAAGAGGATCATGGGTGACCAACAGGCACCAATTAGGCATTGTTTGCTATATAGAGGGAGCAAGTAGCTACAAGTATAGTACAGTGGGCCTTTAAAACAGCATACATGCCAACTGTTCAGATTAAAGAGGAATATTCCTCTTTTTGGGAGAAGATAATTATCATTTTAATGCAGGTGTTCCTCTTCCTGTACAAATTTGTCTGTAGTATTGAATAGGAGAGTTAGGATTGTTCCTCTTTTTTTTTGAAAATAGCATAATTTGTACAGATATCTGATTTTCAAATGTTGGCATGTATGAAACAGTCATGTATGGCTTTTTGATCAATCTATATCCCAGTAATTCCAAGCTGCTGGAGAGAGGCATAGGGATCGTATCAAGGTGCGCAGAGTGTTCCAAAGAGTTTGCCAGAGATGCTGTGATGAGAGCCATCTACCGTACTGATGACATCGCCTCCTTCAGAGACACGCCCGTCTCATCTATCATACAGACTGCGGGCAATGTAGAGAGGGTAAGTCTAGCCATCCTGAAGAATGATTAAGTCTCGTTCAGATATGATGCAGTAAACTATGGTGTCTTTTTTAAAGACCGTCAACACTACTGGGCCAGAAGGGATTAGAACACACAGCAAGATCACTGACACGTGGCTATCTCATTAACTCAGCTCTCAACTAACATAAGAAAAAGAGGATCATGGGGGACCAACAGGCACCGATTGGGGAAGTTTTCAATATAGAGGGAGCAAGTAGCTACAAGTAGGACAGTGGGGGCTTTAAACTATATGACACAAGTGTTATATTTTTCACATTTCTGTGTCTTAAACACAGAGCGCAGTGAATGCATGTTTTACGAAACAAAAATTAAACTTGGTTTTACCACTTCATATTTGAACGAGCTTTCAGGAAGACAAACATGTACATGTGGGTGTTTTTTTAATTAGAGACAGTGCTATATGTTTCACATTTCTGTGTCTTAAACACAGAGCGCAGTGATATTGTGTAGAACTTTTGTTGCGCTTAGTTGCCATTCATTTGATTACGTGTTATACACACAAAAGTAGGCCACGGTTTATTGCTTCATATCTCCAAAAGCCTTTAGGAAAGATAAACATGGGCATGTAGGCCCTGTTTTGAAGAAGGAACATTAGCACATTGCCTGATGAAATGCTTTTATATGGTGAATGACAAATTAGTACAATAATGATGATACTGTTGTTACTCGGTAGGCCATCTATTATTGTAGGGGATAAAAATAATGAAAATGTAATATTGATGATAATGATAATAATCTCAATAATGATGATGATATATGAAGGTGATGATAATACTAAAATATTAATCATGATATCAGCTGCCTGACAGCATAGAGTGTTCTTATTTTCTCCTCTCACTAGTCTAATCATCTTAAGGCCCGGTCCCACTGCACTTACGGATGCAAAGAGGATGTAAAACATAAACAAATATTGCCATCCGTTGGAAAACGCTATGCATACATGTTTCATACGCTCTATCAATCAAGCATCCGTCCACTGTGATTTCATCCGTGCAAAAAGTTTTGAGCTGCACAAAACTTTTAGAACGAATGAACTTCCGCCGTTTTCGATGTAAATCTGCGACAAATACGAGCAACAAACGTTCTATGTCCGTTATCATCCGTTAAACGTCCGCTGTATCCTCTCTGCATCCTCTGGGCATCCTCGCAACTCACATCCGCTGCAGCTGAAAACGGAAAGAGGGAGGAAAGATAAGGTACATGGAACGTCTATACATCGTTAGTAGCACGGAAATAGAGAGGATGTAAGCGTATGCATCTCGTATATAAAGTATTTAAAGCTGTCATCCACTTCCATCCGCTTTCATCCGCTAGGCTTCCGATGAACATCCGTTTGACATCCCCGCTACATACTACCCATGTCCGTTATTTTCTGTTCTGTTTTCTCAAATTTTCGCAAATTTTGTCCATTTCTGGAGTGGATAAAAACGGATGGAGCCACCCGCGAAATTTTGCTTCCCACTGTGTCCTTTATGCATACGTTTTGTGTCCATCGGCCAGTGGGACTGGGCCATTACCCCGACCCCGCTCTCTCTCTATCTTTCTTATTTTTTTCTCTCTCTCTCTCTATGTCCATCCTTCATCCCTTCAGGTTGTACCCATAGCCATCATCCTTGCCATCAAAGGATGTACAGTGCGAGAGGCTCTGGATCACCAAGAGAGGGCGCCAGTCATCAGAACCTCACTCCTCAATCTCCTTCAACCTCCGTCAACAATAAGCTAAGCGTTTTTAATGTTGTTATGCATGTCAACTCTATAAACAAGTACATGTAGAGTAGAAATGTTATCAATGATACAGATAAAAGTCTATACTAATATGACTATATAGTTTCTAATGGAGCTGTAACTACCCATGTAAAACGAAAATCGTTTAATGACTTGTGAGTTTGCAATATATTGATGGGGTGGAGAAAAAAAGTTTGTGCTACTGACAAGTCAATGCATGAGCTGCAAATGTATACAGAGACTTCATACACTCAAGTTGTAGTTAAGCAGTTTTTGATAGTGCCTGTCTTGAGGCAGTCATTATTTTTATAATGAATTGGTGACTTTAGAGGTCTGTTTCACATATAGTTGTGAAGAATAACCAAAAAGAATAACAGTAATCCCTCGTTCAGATATGATGCTGCAAAAATGTGGCGTTTTTTTTATGTGTCAGGTTGAATACGCGTCTCCTTTATGTATGTTGAAACACAGAACCCAATGATATGCACAGCAGCTTTGATGCCTGCAGTTGCTAACCATTTACTCATAAAAAACTAAGGCAAGTTTTTTTGTAGAGGTTTACCCTGCAGATCTGAACGAGCCTCTGATGGTACAGTATTTCTTGTGTGGGAGATGTTACATATGCATAAGCATGTAGTTGCTTGCCAGTAATGTATAAAGTGATAAGATGATTTTGTTCTTTTTCTTTTTTTTTATGAATATGTATAAGTGTAACTTTATCATACTGGTGTGCAGTTCGATAATCAGGAAAGATTTCAACTATGCAGAATTTCATATCTGGTACAATAATGGCAGCTACCTCTGAATAGTTTGATAGATTATGTATTCAGAAAATGCAGAAAAAATACTTTTTTATCACAATTTAGAAGTAAGAAATATTTTGATATATTATGATTCATGCCTTATTGTTCTGAAAATGCAATTGATGAATGCATTGTAATCAAAGTGCAATACAAAATGAGTTTTTATCTGCCATTCCAAGTTTCACAATCGTTCTTTCTGATCAAGTGCTTGCTACAGTACATGCCTGAAATCTCTGCAACACATTTATACGATTAAAAATGTACTCCATTCAATTGCTGGTGTAACAATTTTTTTGTACACGATTCATCTTTTGCCAATTAAGCAAAATCTGAATCATGTAATCGTGGCATCGATCGCGTAGTTCATGACAATGATACTGTATTGTTATGTTTTCAATAAACACAGACCATAATGAAATGTAGAGGTGTCGTGGACGAGTGGATATGTCACCGGACTGTGGATCACAAAGTCCGCGGTTCAAGTCCGTGGTTCAAGTCCCACCGCGGCACTAATGTCCTTTGGCAAGATATTGACCTACATTTGCCACTCTCCACCCAGGTGTTAAATGGGTACCTGATAGGATGCGAAAGCTAATGTGCTTAGATTAGCAAGTGTGCGCTTGTAAAAATGACGCCTGGCTGGAATGCTCCCCAGGGAGTGGAGAATGTGCATACATTGTGTGCGGGTAAGCCTGAATCCGATGACCGGGGTAATAATATTTATATATCTGTAAAGCGCTTTGAGAGGGCGTTCGGTCCTGAAAAGCGCTATATAAGAACTAGCTATTATTATTATTATTATTAATGTGTAAGAAACCATCTCCTGTCGGCAATTAAATGTTTTGATTGCAGATTTAATAAAAGCTTGTCATTGTTAACTCCTCTGCCCCAAAGACAAACTAAGCACACAAATGGGTCTTTAATCGTGTAAATTTACATGATTACAAGGTTACACGTTTGTTGCATCAGGTTAAATCATCCCATCAATGCACTTAACTATTTACACGATTCAGAGCGACAGCCTTTAATCTCTGTATGGAACTCATTACTTGCCCATGCTGTAGGAAACATTTCAGATAGAGTTTTATGTGCAGTATACTTGGATAACTCCTTGATGTAACACAATTTTTTTTTTTTTTGGGGGGGGCTTTCATTTCATGTTTGTAGTAGATTGTTCCTTTGTATTTCCTGTTTTGTAATCATTATTGTAGTTATTCTGAGATGCAATGAACTACTTGATTGGGCTACCCGAGCTCACAGTGAGAGTCTGCTTTTTCAGCAATTTTTTGCAAGATGTTTGATGATGCTAAATTGTTCACATTTTGTAGTTTATATCTGGAAGTGCTTGTGTTTCTCATGTGGATTGGGTGCTTGGAAAACAAAGGCTGGGGTAAATTAATTAGTGAAAATGCAATACTTTTAAGACGTTTGGGGAAAATTTGTCCAAATTATTTCCTTCAATTTAAATTGTGCAAAAAGTCAAAACAGTGTGATAGAAATGACAAGTTTGTTTAATAGTTATTGACATGTTTTACATGTTTGCCAGTTATTATTGATTACCCAAGTAACCATTATAATAAAAACATTATTATATACATTTTCCAATTGAATATTCAACAAAAAAAATATTATTACTAGGCTGTAGTTTTTCTATGCTAATGTTTATATACACATACACGTATGGAACGAATTACCTGCTTTTCTAAGAAATGGTACTTCATGCGAATTCTTTTAATGAAACATAACTTGTTAATTTGTCTTAAGGCTATCCTCTGCAAATTGCGCTATATCAATCTAGTTATCATTATGATTTTGATATTATTTCATAATTCTATGTACAACTGTAAATGGAGAAGAATTATATCGCAAATAAAAAGTTTCAGTAATTTTATACAAGAATGCCATTATTATACTATAATTCTATAGTGATTATATTGTTCGACTCCTAATAGTAAAAATGGCAGATATAGACATTATTTCAGTACTTAAATGCAATAATGTCAGATATTGACAAAATATATTTTAATATTTTTGTTTACTGTGCACCATAGATTTATATAGTGCAACTTATTATCATTTATATATTTTACGACTAAATGTTGTGCTATTTTTAATGTGACTGACTCAAATTTGTATTCTAGATAATTGAATAAATCAAATCATGCCTATTTCTGTATTACATATTTGTTTTTTATATGAGTTTATAATGGAAGCTTACAAGTTACAAAATTGTTTGTAAAGGGAGTTTTCAGATGTACATGTACATCTACATGCATTTCTATTCTTATGTTTACAATTAGCTTCTTGCAGAAGACCAGAAAGCTTCAAAGCATTTATTAATTACAAAAATAAGAAATTATTCGTCATACTCAAGAGTTACTTTTAAAGGCTTGTTCTGAATGGGCCTTTAAGATATAAAGGTTTTCTACAAGTTTAGTTAGAGAATGTGAAGAGAAAATGGATAATGAGAAAATTTTGGACATGAGTGATGTGTGCTAGTGTTGTGCTTGATTGCCTAAAATTATAAGATGAAAAATCCAGTGCTGGCGTCTCTTTAGTATGATGACAAACGTAGTGTTTGAGAGAGGGATTGGGGAGGGAGGGAGAGAGAGGGAGGGATGGAGAGAGGGAGAGGGAGGGATTGAGAGAGGAAGAGCGAGATGGAGAGAGAGGGGGAAATAAAATCATGTTGCAGGTAGAAAATGACAGTAAAACAACCGACAAAATCGGGCTGCTCAATATTCAACTCATTTAAAAGACATGATTGATAACTTTATTAATACATAATCATATGAAAAAGTTAAAAGATATTTTCATTTCGCGATCACAAATTATAGCAACGAATATATATATGCCCTTAGATCAAGTTGCTCATATTGTTATCATCTTCGTGGTTGGTATTTAGTTTATATTTTGTATTGACACGGCATCATCGTCGTATCCTTGAAACGGCATACGGCATCATCCTCGTCTCCGTGAGGTGATTCAATGTTTAGACTTCAACATCCTCCTCGTCAACCTCCTCGTCATCGTCAATTGCCATCTCTTCATCGGGCACCTTGGTGTACTTCTTGGACTTGTCGCCTGAGCTACTTAGGGTCATCGTCGAGAAGGTATAGAGAGAGAGAGAGAGAGAGAGAGAGAGAGAGAGAGGGAGAGAGAGAGAGTGAGAGAAAAGAAAGAAAGAAGAAAGAGAGAAATTGGACAGGGAGCATCAAGAAAGAATAATGAGGGTAATAGGAGCAAATAAATCGAGATGGGGAGAAAGGAGTGGGGAGAAAAGAAAGATTTTTTCATGTCGTCATGACTACGATAATTATCTGAAGACTTGGAGATATAGTTCATTGTATAAAGAGTAAAGAAAAAAGAGGAGGAGGAGGACTCGGGGAGGGAGGAGGAGGAGGAGGAGGAGGAGGAGGAGGAGAGGAGGAGGAGGAGGAGGAAGAAGAGGAGGAGGAGGAGGAGGAGGAGAAGAAGAGGAGGAAGAGGAGGAGGAAGAGGAAGAGGAAGAGGAAGAGGAAGAGGAGAAGAAAGAAGAAGAAGAAGAAGAAGAAGAAGAGAGTAAAGTTCTAACTGCAACTTTAAATTATTACACTTTTCAATCGTCATCGAGGGAAGTGGGATTTATACACATTTAGTTAAAAACAAAAATCATAATTAATGCAAAATCGCTTCGCTGTAAAAATGTATTGTATAGTCCTGTCATGATCAACATATGGTTTTATTTATTGGTCTCAAGATTCGTAAAAAAAACTATTAGGTTATAATAAGGTAAATATATATACCATGACTTCGTTGCGATGGTAAAACAACCAAAAACGATGAGAAGAACAAGAGTAGCACCAGCGGAGACGATCCATGGAAACGGGATGCCAGAAACACTGCCTGATTCTGTCGATAGAAGTAACGGTCAAAGATGATATATCAGGGCCAGTTTTAACAAACTTTTTATCAAAAACAAGTAACTATGAAATTACTGTTATAAGCTACTGAAATAGTGGCATTTGGTTGGCTGAGAGTATATTTGTCATAGACATTGAGCATTTGTTAATGATAACGAGTTTTATGAAACGGGGCCCGACCATAATATCAAAATATCTTGCATCCGACTACAAGATATTAGCATCTATCAGTGGAGGTTTTATTCACTTGACTCTCAATCAAACTAATGAGGGTTCAATTTAGCCTTTTGGGAAAAAATTAATCTACATTTGCCAGGTGGGGATCGTTTGACAATGTTAAATCTGAGATACACGGTCCTACATGTTACCAGTGCCTGTGATATGGTGTAATATTGAAGCCCTAAAAAAAAATCGCGCTTCAAAATGATCAAGAAGTGCCTCAAAAAAGTAAAAATCCAATTAATTTTACCATACTCGTTTTCCCCTATAGACTGTCGTGTTATGAAAACCGTTCGGCGAACGGTTTCAAAATTTGTAATTCCAATCATTAATATCTTGATAATCAGACAGGCGATCGGCTTGTAAAAGTCATGGAGTTCCTGACTGACCTTAATGTTTATAATTATCATTGCAGCATGAGCTAAATCAAGGATTATTTCTAAAGGATCTAAGACAAAGTTACCGGATCCCTTTTTAATGAGTAACTGGCAATCGCCGAGGTAATGATATTGCTAGCATGGGCATCAATCCTTACGTAATACCTATTGTTCAGGGGGGGGGGGGGATGAATGAATAGATCATCCCTCCCTGAACAATAGGTATCAATTACAGATTTACGCCCATGATTGCTAGGCCCGCATGAAGAGCTAGGGCGTACTTGGAAACCAATTTCTTTTACTGAATGTACATACCTTCTATTTTAAACAAAAATTGAATAAATAAGTAAATAAATAAATAATATATATGAAATTGAAATAGGAATCTAGAGTAACAACTTTTCGTCACCTGCAGGCCCTTTCCCTCCCACATTTAGTTGACAACAGTCGTATGATGGTGGTCTCCCAGTACGTTGTGAGGCAGCTGTACGTTCCTCTGCATCATCTTCTTGTAGCTCAGATATGTGAAGATTGCCCCCTGCGTCTAATCGTATCCGTGGGGTGGTGTGCTCAAGGTTTCATCATCTTTGGTCCAGCTATGGGGATGTGGAAACATGAATTGCATGGACTTTACAAAATTGAGGGGAAAATAAATTACAACAACAACATACAGCAGCAGCAAAGTCACCCGAAAACAATTGCTTTCCGATTGTCTATAGTCTATTAGGTTTGCTGAATACATTTGTTCAATTTGTGTGTTTGTTTATTTTACCTGACTGTTAAAGTGTTAAAAAATATGACTTGTTTATGCTTGTAAGAAAGCAACCAGGGGACCGACAGCATTAAGTCTTCTCCGAGGGACTTGGTAATGAGGATTAATGCCTTACCAAAGGGCGCTAGCGCATCGACTTGGCTTCGAACCCGGGACGTCTCGCGTACGAGACCACTGCTCTACCACTGAGCCATCGCTCCCTTAAAATGACATGTTACATATTAATTCAAAACATGGAAGCTAAGTATGATCCTTAACTGCATTTTCTTTTTAAAAAAATGCGATGGTAATTTAAGTTGATGTATATGCGTACGTAACCGTGTAATACTGTTGCGCCCAGCAATCTTTGATGTATTAAGGATTTTTAACCATAAGTTCCCGGCATAATTTCATTTTCAACTTTCAAACCAGAGGCGTTGTCCTCTATCTTCAGCAATAATTCGAAGCTATTTGTACCTAAACTTTGTGCTGTGTATCTGGAGAGTTCATTTAAAACGGCAATTTAAAGATGTTTACAAGCACTATTCCATAAATCTTCGATGACTTAATATGTTGGGCAATATTTTATGACAGACAAATCATGATGGTTGTGTTATTTTACGAATATTTTGTGTTCAATCCAAGAAAAAAGAAAGCTTTATGTTTGACAAGAGTCCGAACCCATTCCCATATACCTCATTTTGATGGATGGCTGGTATTTCTGAATTAGCTGGCTCTGACAGGGAAAGTCCACACTTTTTCCAATGTCCTCCATTCTCTCGTGATGGAATGCTGAAGAAAGATAATGAATATCAGACTTAATGAAGAAATACGACCGAAATCCTCCTCCTTCTCCTCCCCCTCCTCCTTAGCCTCCTTCTCCTCCTCCTCACTTCTCTTCTCCTCCTTCTTCTCCCCCTCCTCCTCCTTCGGCTCCTCCTCCCCTCATCCTCCTCCTCCTCCTCCTCCTCCTCCTCCTCCTCCTCCTCCTCCTCCTCCTCCCCTTCATCCTCCTCCTCCTTCTCCTCCTCCTCCTCCTCCTCCTTCTCCTCCTCCTCCTCCTCCGCCTTCTCCTCCTCCTCTTTCTCATCCTCCCACCTTCTCATTTCTCTTCTTCACATTCACATAGAACTAGTAAGTCATCATCAACATCACCAACATTATCACCACTGCCATCATTATACCAATCGTTGTCATTTATGCCGGTATCACGGTTAGTCTTTCAATTAGTCTTTTGGGGTGGTATAGATCTAGATCTATCATAATAGGCCTAGATTTCTATGTTTCAAAATATTTCGCACTAAGCCACTAGGTCTATAATATACCTACACTTTTCTTGTTCCTACTCATCATCTTTAAGATCAGACTCATACACGCTTTCTCTCTCTCTCTCTCTCTCTCTCTCTCTCTCTAACCCTAATCGGGATGCGTATTTTCTTCTTCGGCACAGATTGGGGCTTTAAAAAAAAAAGAGGTCTTGATTTAACCCTAACCCTAAACTTTCCTATAGGCTCAACACGCACCTAACCCCAATCTGTGCCGCAGAAGAAAAAAAAAACACAATCGGGATAGTCACCAAATCTTATTTATTATTACTCACGACTTTCCCCGATGACTTTTAAGACTATTGATGCGACAAAAGAAGGAGCATCGGCAAACTTTCATCCCAAGATCCTACTCCAAGTTGTTTTTTGTGTTTTCATCGAAATATCTGCGTTCCTCAAATCCTCCAGCTCATAAACAATGCTAGATTTCATATCTTTGTATACCTTTAAAAAGATGATTGTAAAACTTTTTAATTCGTTTAGAATTTGACTGACAATGATAGATAAGAATGCGTGCATGCTCCGACCTTTTAATTGTCTTTGCATTTGTCTTTTAATTTTCCTGTGTATTTGCGCGTCAAGGGGAGACGCGCGCATATGTTTTGCGCATCATTTGTAAACACAGCGCACCCCCTCCCCCCCCCCCCCCCTACAATGGCCCTCCGCCCCTTTTGCTTGAACACATATCTTTGCTTTGGTTTTACTTTTACGACAGATTGTTTCAATCATACCTACTTACTTGGGTATACTTGGGTAAATAACATTGTATCGTTGAATATATATTGCTGAAATAAAATATAGTTGAAATTTGTGACATTCTGAGAGTAAAGCTTAGAAACATCTTGCAACCAGAGAGAAGCAATAACAAATTCGGATCGAAATCGAGTTGGTTCTATTTAAATATGGTGAGCTCTATCATGTTTCAAAGGAAAATTAGTTGGGTATTGGGACAAAATTTCTAACTATCAGATCGAGCTAGTTATCTTGAAGAAGAAAAAACCATGAACTTGTGTGGATGGATTCATTTGGCATTGGCTGGCTTCTCTCCCTGGTGAATGGACGAATAATGTTTACGTCGAGTGGTGATAACTTCAAACATTTGATCCCTTGAAACACATCCAAGATGGCGCCGACTTTGACAGCGATGTGACGTTTCATGAACCAATAGTGACGATGGCTGTAACCAATGATAGCTTCCTGTGGTCGTATACCTCAAAATTAAGGCAAGCTATACTGATGATGATGAAGATGATGATGTTGATGATGATGAAAGTGATAATGACGAGGATAACATAATGGTGATGTTATTCATCATGAGGATGATGATGAGGATGATGTTGAGGATGAAGATGGTGATAATGATGGTGGTGATGATGATACTGGTGATGATGATGGTGGTGATGATGATGATGATGGTGATGATAATGATGTTGATAATGATGGTGGTGATGATGATGGTGTCGATGATGGTGTCGATGATGATGATGATGATGATGATGATGATGAGGATGATGAGGATGATGAGGATGATGAGGATGATGATGATGATGATACTTCTACTTCTACTTCTACGACGATACTCAGCAGGATCCATAAGTCAGGATGTAGTGCTGAGGAATAACTATCTAGTTCTTGGTCTAGATACTGATAATGATGATGGTGATGATGATCATGATGATGATGATCATGATTATGATGATAATGGTGATAATGGTGGTGATGATTGAGGAGTATGATGATGATAATGATGGTGATGATGATGGTGATGGTGATGGTGATGGTGATGATGATGATAATGGTGATAATGATGGTGGTGATTGAGGAGTATGATGATGATAATGATGGTGATGATGATGGTGATGGTGATGGTGATGGTGATGATGATGATGGTGATGATGATGATAATGATGATGATGATGATGATGGTGGTGATGATGATGATTAAGAGGATGATGATGGTGATAATGATGATGGTGTCGATGATGACAGTGGCAATGATGATAGTGGTGATGATGATGATGGTGGTGATGATAATGATGGTGATAATGATGGTGGTGATGATAATGATGGTGATAATGATGGTGGTGATGATGGTGGTGTCGATGATGAAGATGATGATGATGATGATGATGATGGTGGTGATGATGATGACGGTGGTGATGAGGATGATGATGATGATGATGATGATGATGATGAGGATGATGATGATGATGATGATACTGATAATGATGATGGTGATGATGATCATGATGATGATCATGGTGATGATGACAATGGCGATAATGATGGTGGTGATGATGATGATGATATAATGGTGATAACGTTGGTGATGATGATGATGAGGATGATGATGGTGATAATGATGATGGTGTCGATTATGATGATGATGAAAATGAGGATGATGATACTGATACTGATATGGTGATGATGATGATGATGCTGATGATGTTGATGATGGACATGATGATGGCCACGATGATGATCATGGTGATAATGACAATGGTGATAATGATGGTGGTGATGATGATGATGATGATGATGATGATGATGAGAGATGATGATACTGATACTGATGATGGTGATGATGATGATGACGATGATGATGATGATATTAATGGTATAATGATGGTGGTGATGATGATGATAATGTTGATAATGATAGTGGTGATTGAGGAGTATGATGGTGATAATGACAATGGTGATAATGACAATGGTGATAATGATGGTGTCGATTATGATGATGATGATAATGAGGATGATGATACTGATACTGATGATGGTGATGATGATGATGATGATGATGATGATGATATTAATGGTAATAATGATGGTGGTGATGATGATGATAATGTTGATAATGATAGTGGTGATTGAGGAGTATGATGGTGATAATGATGGTGGTGATGGTGGTGATGGTGGTGATGATGATGATGATGATGATAATGATGGTGGTGATGATGGCCATGATGATGATCATGATGATGAGGATAATGGTGATAATGATGTTGTGACTGAGGAGTATGATGGTGATTATGATGGTGGTGATGATGATGGTGATAATGATGGTGGTGATGATGATGGTGATAATGATGGTGCTGCTGCAGATGATGATGATGATGATGAAGATAATTGGATGATGATGATCACCATTATTATTGACGACGAACATGGTCGTTTTATTATCATCAAATATCATGTAATTTCTCATGCCAGTCACAGACCACGTTTCCGCCGGGGATCACGTGATGATCCTAGGCCTATAGACATGTCTAGCGTGCTGGCGTTTGTTCGCTTGGGAAAGGAATGTTTGGATCGAAAACGAAGACGAGCTGTCATCGTGTACGAGGCAGAGCCTCAAGACTGCGCTGTGATCCCTGGTAGGAAAATTCTTCATTGTCTGTGTCTATTTAGGATTACAAAACGTACAAAGGAATTACTAGAAATATGATTTAATCAGGGATATTGAGTTTAATATTATCTATGTTTTATATTGCCGACGAGAGGCATGAATAAAAGAAGTTTGTAAAATTGCTCCCTACAATTTTAACATTTGCACTCAGTCATCTTGTGAACTGTTTTTTTTTCACATAATAATCTTGGTGTTAGAGAAAGTTGAGATTCTGATAAACAAATTTCAAGTTCAATTTGAATTGAAGGGGGAGGGGTCATCCGGAAGCAAGGCTTTGGATCAAATAGGGATCTTAAAATGTATTGTTTTTATTCATCGGGGTATGAGAGCGAATTTTAGAATAAGAGAAGGAAAGGAAGAAGTTGAAGAAAAGAGGTAATAAACAAATGACGAAAATCCGGAAGAGGTGATCAGGGTCAAGATAGAGAAATAAGATAAAATAGGGGGAGAACATACTCATATCAGAATATTTTTGTTGTTTTTTAAATGAGCAAAGATGAAAAATGGTACACGTATTTAGAAAAACCCGTATCTTACCAAACCCTCTTTAATTTCCAATCCAGAAAATCTGTCTATTCAGATGAATATCATTCAAAAGTACATTTTGATTCATGCAAATTTTTAAAAAATCATTCTTTTTTTTCTTCTCTTCCTTCGATCGGGATGCTTTCAGTAACTCCCGCGTTCAAAAGATCCACTGGACCAAACAATCACCTGGCGAAGATGAACGTCGAGTAGCATACGATAGTCGCTCCGATGAGTCGCAAGACCGCGTCGTACTCGAGGCCGACATGTCGCTTTCGATTCGCGGGGCCAAACTCTCTGGTGACGACGGTATTTACAGATGTAAAGAGAAACGAGAATGGGGAGAAGAGTGAGATTTATTTCATGATTATTTTTTGAGTGTTAATTATTATTTTAATATACATCATCATACATACATCACGTTACTTCTTTGCGTATGGTCTTTTGATTAAATGCATTGTTTAGCAATGTTAAATCTGAGGTGCATATGGCCCTACTTGCCATATGCAATATGGTGTAATATTAGATAGCTTAGACAGATACCGAGATGTGATTGGTCCAGAGCTCGTCACGTGATATCAATTGCGAGGATCCAAATTGTTATATTTTCCCGGCCGGTCACTTTTCAGTGTTATTTTAACCGGCTGGTGAAATGAATATATTTTTAATCAATGCATGTCGCCCTCTTGAGGAATGTATGTCACCAATTACACACATACACCATTATCGAGGGTCGTTTTATTTTTCATATTTTTTTTTCATGAATTTTTTTTTTTCCCTAAAATTATTTTTTTTTTTTTCCCCAAAATCAATTTTTTTTTAATATTTTTTTTTCCCCTGCTTTTTTTGGGTAATTTTTTTTTTATTTTTTTTTTTTTTTTTTTTTCGAAAATGCTTTTTTGGTAAGATTTTTTTTTTTTTTTTTTTTCCCCAATTTTTTTTTTTATTTTTTTGTTTGTTGTAAGGTAATCTCGACAGATTTATTTTTCCGTAATTTTGACTGTCCCCGAAAAAAAAAAATTGGGGGCAAAAAAAAAAATGACCCCCCCCCCCTACAAAAAAAAAAAAAAAACAAGGCTATCTAATATAACAGTTATTGACTGGCAGGGGTATATACATTCTTTGGACCTGAAGGGAGTTATATTTTCCCTCGTGACCATATTTTCCCTCAGCGCTGCGCGCTTCGGGAAAATATAACCACTTGGGAAATATAATCTCTCTTCAGCGGTCCAAATAATGTTATATTACACCCCTGCCAGTCAATAACTGTATAATATTGAAGCCTACAAATAGTGCGCTTCAAAGTGATCAAAACAACACGGTTTTGCAATACAATACTCATTTTACCCAATAGACTTTGCAGTTATACATCGTTAGGAAAACGAAA